CCCTCGAAGTTAGTCACTAGAGAACACATGATTAATTACTATGAGAGTTTATAAGGCATATTTTAATTTCATCAAAACTTGATCAACTGTCAAATTCATACCTCCCTATTGTTATCTGAATGAAGCATTTACCGATATATGTCACTTGATCGTGAAGTCCCTTAGTCGTTGCCATAAAATCGTATTATTTCAAATAACCTGAGCATATGTCTACTAGTTAAACATCTTTTAATCAAAAGAAACAGAGATCGAGCTAGAGATAATAGAGTACAAATTCATTTTGTATTGTTTATTTGAATCTGCCTATTGATCTTTAGAACGGAAACTGATTAGTCTCTTATTGGCATATGAAAATCCTGTTCGCATCGCCTTGATATTGCCTTACATCGGGACTCAGTAGCTATGTGGATGACGCAATGGCGTTTGAAGCGAACGGTACTGTTTTCAAGTCCCTGAGTGAACATAAAATCTGGGATGTAGGTACATTTAGCTGACGGGTCCAAATAGGACAAAATGCAAATTCTATATTTCACAGTTAGTCCCATTCCATCTGTTGTATATAAATTTCAAAATTTGAAAATTCCCATATTGTGATTTAGAACAATATATTTAAGTGAACAATATTGTTTTCGATTAGATCCTCATCACACAATGACTTGGATTGTTCACTCGAATTCTTATAGCCTCTGCTATTTGTAAGAGACGAGATCGAACGCCATAAGGAAAACTGGTAGGAATATTGTAAATAACTTTAAATGACTTATTTCTGTGTACTATATGATCGCTATCGATCAAACGTGATAGAACCGAGCTGCGTTTTGTCTTGATAGTACCTTTTCCTAACCACGACGAGAGGTGTTCACTAACTCTTTGGTTCAGTTGTCTAGTAGTGCCACAAATATAGCTTTCTTCACAGGAGCAGCTTAATTCGTAGATACACATAGAAGTGTCATAACTGGGTAACTTATGCTTTAGTTGAGGAATCGCCATACATCAGGTCGAGTATGATAGACAGAGATCGGCTGAATTAAACATTCTCTTCACAAATCTAGTCAGTCTACCACGTAGTATGTCACCAGCTACATCTCCTATGAATTGCAGCTTCAGGAAGAGAGGTTTCTTACTAACTGTGGATATCTCTATTATCTTGTTTCTTACACGCAAGTGTTTCTTCAAAAAACCTTTTGGATAACCCATTTCAATCAACATATTGTGTATGAGCTGTAACTCTTTGTTAATTGCATCAGTTGATTATACCTTCCTAACTCTATTTACCAAACATTTGACTAAGTTTTTCTTATAGTGAAGGAGTACAAAGCTAAAGAAATATGTGTACTGGCTTAATGAAGATTTTTCCCTAAAGACACTTCTACTGATAGAACGGTTTGCTTTTCTAATTAATAAAACTTCAAAGAAAATGTAGTTTCTTATCTAGTTCCTTTTCACATGTAAATTTAATTGTTGGGTGTTTACTGTTAAATAGTTCTAATAGTTCTTCTTTTCCAATATCCTGATCAACAATTAAAACTACTTTACAGTATTATCATAAGGTGAATTATGCATTACTAAAAACTGGACGAAGAGAAAGACCTGTCTTGTGAACTTTGGGTAAACCACAGAGTCGCGGGGTGTTCAATCCAGTGAGTTTAACTGGATAGTGTTTAGTTCCTTAAAATAATTAGTCAGTTAGTCCAATGATCTGAACATTGCTTATTACGTAATTTTAGCATTTTTATGGTTGTTATTTCAGTGTCTACATTCGTTTTTCTAATCATTGACCTATTTCCTATTATGTAACATTGATTGGATGCGCACTGCAGAGGAGTCCCATAATAGAACAAAACGGCCGTCCAGTGCTATCAGGTTTTCCATGGCGGTCTAGCTTCAATTGGCTAATGATTTCAACTCTATAAAGCTCTTCTATGTCTTAAGATAACTTCAGTGATTTATACTGAGAAATTATCTTAGTACAGACTGAACAAGTCTCACGTTACATCAATGGAACCAGAGTAGTTCCTAATACTTTTGTTATTGGTACGGTTAGGTAAAACTATCGAGAGAAATTCACTTAGTATTGTTTGTTTGTATCTTCCCATTGATGTTTTAGGACTGCAACTGGTCACTCTCTTATTGGCATATGTGCAAACTGTGCGCATTGCCTCGATATAGCCTTATTGCACAAGCATTGTAAGCAAAGATGGATGGTTGCTGGCAGTGGAATCCAGGACGAGCGTTTCGTTCTATTTCGGACTCGTCAGCTGGATCTACCTACATCTTAGAGTTGATTTTCACTCTGAGACTCGAACCCAGTACCTTTCACTTCAAACACCATCGCGTTATCCACTCAGTTACTGAGTCTTGATAGCTTGTGAATTAAGGCTCTATCGAGGCAATATGCACAGTATGCACATATGCCAATTAGAGACTGATCAGTTGCAGTCCTAAACATCAATAGGAAGATTCAAACAAACAATACTAAGTGAATTTAATTATCTTAAATGTTACGAATATTCAAATTTTATGAGATCTTCTTCAATACACCGGGAGATTGAAGCACATATGAGAAGGATGAATAACAACTGGAAAAAACTGAGAAAGATTACCCAGGACAGGATTGAATGGAGAATACTAGCTGGATGGCCTATACTCCTCAACGAGGGGTAACAGGTGTAAGTAAGTAAGTAAGTAAGTATGAGATCTTCTTGTTTAATGTTGAAAGTTAATAAATATACTTATCATGATATTCTAATGAGATGGTTACTATCTCATTGAACACAAATGGGAACGTACAATGAATACGTTAATTTCAAAATGTCAAAAAATCGTCTCAAACTTCATTGTTTCTACATTTCCATATCAATTACTTTCTGTTCTTGTTCTTTTCTCCACGATCCTTTTAAGCTTCTGATGCTAGACATTCTATTCCTGATTTTTATTTATTTATTTAAACACATAAATATTGTTACAACGGAGCACCAGATACATATGCGCCACACAAATCTCATTCGATTTGTTTGAGGGCTGTGATACTGCTCAGGTGCCCGAACTGAAGCAGGTGGTTTTCTTAGGGGCCTACACCCGGAGCCTTTGACCGAAGCATCGTGAGGCGATGCAGTCATATGGTAGTCGGTGACTAACGATTGATTCATACGCCACTTGTTTCCTCAGGATACTGGAGCCCATGTGCACCATTGGTTTGGAATGAGGGTTCTCCAACTCCCCTAGGTGGACTCGCAGTGTACACCAACCCGGTTAAAGCGCCGGACATTCGCTTTTCGTCCTCTCAATTTCGTAAACAACACCCGTGGTGCGAGAAGGCAGTGAGTAGGACTTCCCTGACAGAGGCTATATATTCGCTGGCATGTGAGAGCATTTGGAGAGGGAGAGTGTATTCTCCCCACTCTCGGCCGTACCAGGGCATTTGAATAATATCTGATTAATATGACATAATACTTATATTGATATAAGTAGCATACACCACTTTGGTATTAAAAGTGAGACATCGCTTAAAAATTAATATTAAACTAGTGAAACATATTGAGAATTCGTTTAAGTCGAAAGGTAACAAAAATCTCTTCAGTTCGTATTATTCAAACTAATTGATCCAATGACAATTCAAGGACAAATTGAATGAAATAGACTGTAATAAAAGTAAAAGAAACACCATAGTTGAATTCATGAGTCAATTAAAACTACACCATCATGGAAAGCCTGAAATCACTGGATGATGGGATCGTGAATGCACACTGTTCAAGAGACTCATATTAGGACGAAATGGCGGTCTAGTGTCTACATGTTTTCCATGATGGTCTAGCTTTAATTGACTCACTGCTGAGGAGTCTCATACTAGGACAAGACAGACTTGAAACATTGGTTCCAGGTTTCCATGGTGGTCTTATTTTAATCGACTCATGAATTCAACTGTTAAATTACTAAAATCTCCACAAAATCCCCCTTCTGATAATATATTCATATCAACCAATGATCAAACGTTACAATCCTTTGCGAGTCATAGCAACACATTTAGGTTATAGTACAATCTATAGATACTAATAAAGACTAAAATTATTGACCAATGAAAGGATTATAATTAAATCTAAGGTTTATGAAATAACCAACCAAATTATATGTGCAGATAGTGGACAGTATAATTCGACAAAAATAACCAATCAAATCGTGTGTGCTGATAAAATAAAATTAATTTTTTAAAGTTTTCCTACAAAAAATATTATAATAGTTGAGATCATGAGTCGTACTGCTGACTGTGCAGAGGTGTGAAGGCGGTGAATTGTTTCCTTTAGAGAATCAACACAAAAATGATTCTATCTTCTTACAAGGAGGGGTAGGGTTAGAAAAGGTCGACCCTAAAAATACACACTTCGCTTAATCCCATGGATATCCGTCACCGGCGATAAGATCTCAACAAGTACAAATCTAACATGAAAATTACTCAGAAGAAGGTCGTGTGTATGTGTACATACTACATCAAATTGCAATAAGAAAATGAGTATGAATACATACATAAATATAATATTCAAATTAACCTAGCCCCCGAAAACCCTGGCACGGCCGACAGTGAGGAGAGGGAGGTCTCCCTTTACAAACGCTCTCAAATGTTCACACGTATACAGCCACTAATAGGGAAGTCCTACTTACTGCCTTATCGTGACATTACTGTTGTTTATAAAATTGAGAGAACGAAAAGCGAATGTTTAGCGCTTTAACCTTTTTGGTGGATAAAGAGCATCCACCCACGGGAGTCAGAAAACTTTGATTGGAAACCAATGGTGTACATGAGTTTCGTGATCTTAAGAAAACAAATAGTATATGCACTTATTGTCTGTAACTAGCTACATTGAGACTGTATCTCCTTACGTTGCCCCACTGCCTTGTAGATGTTCAAATAAATAAGTAACCTAGCAACATAGAATAAAGTATCTTTAACATGAAATATCATACTATTTTATTCATGAAAAGAATTTTTTAACTTTGTAACTTACCAATTTCTTCTAATTATTTTAAATATTTTTGTTTAATATTTTATCCAAAGAATCCACAGCAACAACAACAAAAAAGATAAACGATTATTATATGCACAAAAAAAACACAAAAATAATAGTCGATATGTTAAGTTTTTTAAATTCAAATTGACCGCCAATAATCAAAACACAAAATAAAACAAGATTCAATAATCAATTTGTTTATTTTTTTGTGGGAAGAAAGGGGTTCAATGAATCTTTTCAAATTTGATGTTGATTTATGGTTAAAAAAACGTTTGTTTCTAATAATGATAATGATGATGTATTGAATAATGAGGATAGTAATAATATAACTTTGTTGCCAAGTTGAAAATGAAAAAAATATAATGAATGAATAAAATAAAGTTTTTTTGATTTTCTATACTGAATCACTCTATTACGGTAATCAACTAAAAAAAATTTTCCTTATTTTCTTTGGATTAAAAATTTTTTTTTGAAATTTAACCAACTGGATTTAACTTCTATATATATAATAGTTAGACATATACATTTGTATGTATATATCTATATATATTTATGTACACTATTTGTATCTATGCTTATTTAACTGTGATATCATGGCCCCCCTCCCTCCCTACTTCCCCCTAAACGTTGGGTAACAGAGATAATCATAATAATCATAACAGTAATAATAAAAATTATTATGATTATTATTATAACACAGAAACCGTGCAGAATATAAATATTGAGTAAATGATAGTCTGTATTATTGGCTGGGTTGGTTTCATAACGGTTAGACTATGAATGAGTGAATGAGTGAGGGAGTGAGTGAGTACAAACACGTAGACACTATGTCTATTGACTTATATGGTTGTATATGAATATACATATCCGCCTAAGTGTGTTACTATGACATCATGGTTAATATTTTCTGTCTTAATAATCTATAAATTGACTATACTTTAGTGAATATCTTAATGAATCGTTGTTTTACTTCTTTATGCCTCTTTTGAATAAAGTTTGATTACGTTCAAGATGAATACTTCTATGATTATTATAAGTAGTAGTTTTCTATTAATTTAAATAAAGAAGTAAAATTAGTTTAAATGAAATGAGATAAACATAGATAGAATATACAACAAACAGATAGACATAGGGTAGGGATAACTTATGTACATAGATGATTGTAGGTTTTCGTAATAAGAAACTATATTGGTTAGTTATGAGATAGACAAATAAAATATTGGAAATGAACAAAAACAAATTATGTAATCATTTGATTGACTAAAAGGAATAGAATTACAAGATGAAAACAGTTATGTGATTATAAGCGAATGGTACTGAGTTCGTGTTCCAGAGTGAACGTCAACTCTGAGATGTAGGTACATCCAGCTGACGAGTCCCGAATAGTATGAAACGCACGTCAAACTGGAATCCACTGCTAGCTACTATCCATTTTGGCTTATAATGTTTTATATAGTTGAGATCATGAGTCAATTGAAGCTAGACTACCATGAAAAACCTGGAAGCACTGGACGACCGCTTCATCCCATTGTGGGACTCCCCAGCAGTGTGCATTCACGATCCCGCCTCATGAAAGTCGAACCCAGGACATACCAGTCTCGCGCCAGAACATGTGAATAAGGGCAATATCGAGGCAATACACACAATATGCACATATGACCAATAAGTGACTGATCAATGATCGTCTAATTCAGTGCCAATTCGTAATATGAACCTTAAAGTTTGTAGATTGTATAAAGTCTCTGATAGGTAAAAGGGTAAGCAATTCAAGATGTTAGGGATGTTAGATCCCCAGAAATCACTTGGTAAATACCTTATTTTTGTAATTTTATTTTGAAATTTTGAATTCTTTTGTTTTCGTGCCAGAAGCGCTCTTTTCTTCTTTATGTCTTATTTTGTCACTTGGGAAAATCTTAAACCCTATTGGTTCATTGTATCTTTTAGTATACTATTTTGTAACGCTTTCCAAAGACAGTTTTATGTTGTATATACATGCATTTAATTTGTACCTGTTGTGACTGCTTGTGTTTCAGGCTGCTTGAGGCTGCTTGGACCTCTCACTATAGTAAGCGGGCCTGGGACACGTCAGAATAGCTAGCTTATTGGTCTTTGGTCACAAATCTTTGTTCTGTTCGCAGACTAGGTGAATACATAATGGCTTCAAGCATAGCATAGGAGCATTCCTGGAACTGGGATCAACTGAAGAACTATCAAAAAATAGTAGGTATTCAGACAGTATCTTCGTTTCAATCTGAAGTAGTTCAACACTGCGCACGAAAGAAATCCAAATGGAAAGGATTGAAAATCTTTTTATCTTATGGTGAGTGTGGTTATTTCAGGTTAAAGAGTCAGGTATAATAAGCTGATTTTTAAATAGTAATACTAATAATAACGAAAAACATAATGATAAATGGCATTATCTTAATCTATAACGAGTTGAATTATTATAATTTAGTGGTTGCCTGAACTTAGTCGTTAAGTGGATTGAGGATTAAGGAATTGAGGAGTTAGACGAGAATGATAACGAACCAACTAACTTCGAAGACACACCTCGCTGTCAGCATCTAACGTGGATTACGTCATTCAACATTTTAAAGTACTATACCTGCTTCGAAGACTGTATAACACAAAGAGCGTGATAATATAAATATATTAGTAAGAATGAGTACAGAGATGTTAATAAAATCACCATAGCATGGGCCAGTCCATGGCGTATGATTAACTAATGCGCGTTTTGTTATCCTTGACTTTAACTGGGATCGATGATCTGTTCGATATTCAGTGATGATTTGTCTAAGGCTTAGTGACATTTCACTGCCGCTACACTATATCCCTCGTACTATAAGCTTTATTTTGACCTATATAGATTATTATGATACGATTTACTGTCTCTAAATTATATTCGGTTTATTGATTAGTGTCTCCCACGTTCACAGCCACATTTGACTTGATCCTGTACAAACATTATTTCCTATTTTATGGTGTAATGTGGTCTCTCTGTCTGATATATAAACCAAGTATGCTTGAAATCAATGATTCGCATAACAGAAGCAGCAATCGCTGTTCTGGACTCACTCGGACGGGCTAGACGGGAAATGGAACAATAAGGACGCTAGACTGCTCATACTGGTCGAATGTCGTTTGTTTGGTACAATACTAGATTAGATAAGTCATATCTCGATTGGCAAATAAATCATGTGATAACTAGCTGAACTTCAAAATCCACAATAGGTACGTCCAGCTTTGTCTCAAATGGAATGGAACATGCATCTTGGGTCCCATTATTTGCTATTTCTATCTCCTTTATATATAAGGCTTTAACATATCCTGACCCATAAACTATTATTGTACGATTTACCATTCTTGAGTTATGCACAGTCTATCAATTACTGTTCCCTCTATTTAAAGCCACATTTGACTAAATCTTGTACAAATGTTGTTTTCTGTTTCATGGTACGATGTGGTCTATCTGGTTGGTATATAAACCCAGTATGATTCCTACCGCATAAGCTGTTATTGGTGTTCTGGACTTAACTGCCTGAGCTAGGTAGATAGCAGGACCGACAAGTACTCTAGACTGCTCGTACGGGTTCCGTGTATCATTGGATCCGGTCGATAATTCACTCCTTTCTGATTGGCGAGGATCATTACGTCACATATATATCAAACAAGGCATGCACTCATTCAATATAACAGTTATAAACTATTTTAGTAATAGTATCTGTAAGAAATGACATAAGCTTATTTTTTATATGAAAAAAAACCAGTCCCCTCAAGTCTCCAGGACAGTTTTTGCTTACAAGTTTCCATTCACATAAAAAACCTGAATCAACAATGTCGTATTGACCTTCTTCAATCATTGAATATGATATTCACATTTCAATGTGAGTATAAATATCATTGATTTAATTAATATATTCTAATCTTACCTTGTAAAGGTCATATTTACTGATGAATTCATTTGAGATAATGAGATTAACAATGACTTATAATTACCAATACCAAAGTTGAATGAACTTGATCGTTTCAAATAAATTAAGTATTATGTGTCGCTCAATTTCGTGGATTGGTTGAAGTTAGACATCAACACCGTTGGATGACAACCGGCTAAGTGATCTAGAAGTTAAGGTACTAGGTTCGAAACTCGTGAGGCGAGGTCGTGAATGCGCAGTGATGAGGAGTCCGATACTGTGACGAAACGGCTGTTCAGTGCTTCCAGGTTTTCGATGGTGGTCTAGCCTAGATCGACTTATGAATTAAACTATCAGAATTATAACTTTATTTTATAATCATTAACTAAGTCGATTACTGTGAGTATATATTCCCCTAAATGCTCTAGTACGGCCGAGAGTGGGGAATATCCGCCCTCCCACTCGAAATTCTCTCACATGGTCACGTATATATAGCCCCTGTCAAGGAAGTCCTACTCACTTCCTTCTCGTGGCAGAATTGTTGTTTACCGAATTGAGACGACGAAAATCCAATGTCCGGCGCTTTAACCGTGTTGGTGGACACGGCGAGTCCATCTAAGTGAGTTGTATAACCCTGATTCCATACCAATGGCATAAATGGGCTCCAGTAGCCTGGACGAACAAATGGCGTTTGAATCAATCGTTGGTCACCGACTACCATATGACTACATCGCCTCACGATGCTCAACTGCCTTGTGGATCAGATCTTTAGGTCAAATGCTCGGGATGTGACCCTCTAAAAAAACCACCTGCTTCAATATCATAACCCTCACACAAATCAAGTGAGATTTGTGTGGCGCATATGTATCTGGCGCCCCGTTGTACCAATATTCATGTGTTTAAATAAATAAAATAAAATAATCTTTTGATTGACACCTTCACTACTGTTGTACAACTTATTACTCTTAAATTGTTGTCAATCGATTAATTAAAGTCTCCTTTATTCACAGCCATTTTTGGCTTGTTCATGTATGGTTTTTATTTCTTATTTTGTTGTGTAATGCAGTTCCAGTATGTTTGTATATAAATCACTTCTGTTTGAAATAGAAATGTGGTACAGGTTGATTGCTGACTTCTGAACTCAAGAGACAGACGTAAAGGGAAACTTTAGAATGATGAACTAACAGGGACTTGGCTATCAGGTCAACGACAATAGAGTTGATAAGGTGTGTAGCTGTATATATCAAAGACATTGAGCTACAGAGTAAATAGCAGATTGGACTAGGAGTAGGATTCTGACTTGTGACCGGTATATTCTGTCAGTGAATTCTCAAGATATAACATGTGTGATCATGTGTGTTAGTAGTGAAGAACAGGCAGATAATGCCCACCTTTCAGTCAACTAGTATGGTCAAGAATGATGAGTCCACTTTTCCTGCGGAAATGCTCCCATACGACTATGCGTTTGCTACCTATACTCATTGTCTTCACGTGGCTAAGGGTTATTTTACCAGAGTGAGACAACTCGATAAAAACTGCCAGGGCTTGAAACGGGATTGTGAATACAAGCTGTCTACCTAGGTTAGTTGAACAATCCTTATTTCATTATAATTTTAAACATAGGCTTCATGATCTTGATGGAACAAATAGTGTATGAGGCAGATGAATCAGTTAGAGAGAGCAGTTCCGCTTTATGTTACTGATAACTGACACTTTTCGAGCTCATGATGCTGAGCAACCCACTGTATTTGATTACAGTTATCTCTGAAGGATTGCTGTAATCTAGTATGAGTATTCTTTTGGTAGTTTTGTGTATTGACAGTGTTTGCACAGTTATAACGGCTTCGGTGGCTTGTTCGTGTGTTATGAATGTCATTCCGAAGACTACCAAATTTTACACTGTTTAGTGATGGTGGGACTGAGTGGTAGATATAGAGTTGAACAGTTTATTAGACACAAAATAGATATCGAAGATAGTTATGGAGAACTGATAACTATCATTCCATCAAGACACTGTGATTAGGGTCCTGGAGGTAATATAATTCATCAGATCGGAATATCATTAGACACGCTCGATGACGACTCAACTGTATGTTTTTGTTATACACATCATAAAACTGAGATGAGCTTCTAATATTAAAATCAATCTTTTCTGATTGTATTTCGAACTAAAATGGTTTCGAATCCCACGGATGGGGTCGTATATATGCACTGTTGATCAGTCCCATACTAGGATGAAACGTCCATCCAGTGCATTCAGGTTTTCCAAGAACAAATTTGGTAATTATGTACATTTATCTGCATTGCTATTTTGTGTGTGTGCGGGGGTGTTTGTTTGAAGATTTATGAAAAGTTGAAGGAATCAGAAATAGACTTTGGTAAACAAAATTTTGATGGTTGAAATCATGAGTCAATTGTAGACCACCATGGAAAACGTGGAAGCAATGGATGACCGTTTCGTCCCCGCGTGGGACTCGTCAGCAGTGCGCATCCACTATCCTGAGATTCTAGCCTACGACCTATTGGTCTCGCACGCAATCGCTTAATCTCTAGAACCACTGAGCAGGTTGGCATCCTACGGTGTTAATGTCTAACTTCAACTAATCCATGGAATTGAACGACCGTCCACTATTGTCTTCAGTGAGTTAATATCTCACAACAGACCCGATTGTACACCACTGACCACGGCTTCTTACTAGAACTCCAGGAAATAACTCTTGGAGACTGAAACAAAACTCTATTTTCAATCTTTTCAATCAATATAACGACATCTTAACTGTAGTTGACCTAATATAGTAAGAAGTTTATTGATTTACCATAGTTGATTATCACTTTTACGATCGTTTCATTTTATTTTATTTATTTAAACAAATAAACATTGGTACAAGGAAGTACCAAATAGATATGCGCCAATATAGATCATTCGATTTATGGATCCTCAATGTTCACCAACCCGGTCAAAGGACTGGACATTCGCTTTTCATACTCTCAATTCAGTAAACAACATATCTGCCATGAGAAGGCAGTGAGTAGGACTTCCCTGAAAGTGTCTGTATGTGCATGGCTATATGAGAGCATTTCGAGAAGGAGAGCTGATCCTCTCCACCCTCGACTGTATCAGGGAATCCGGGGGCTGCTATGCAAAATCTATACATATATATCTATACATAGACACTTTATACATTCAACATTGTTATTTTTACGCTAACCAATTTTTAACATTGTGAATATCATACAAATACATTTAGATGATAAATGATAAAGTTATTCAACTTTGAATTTCATGCCACAAACTCCTAAATAGTATTCTCGACTGTGATTGACTTGCTTAAATATCATAGTTTCACCTAGTTGACTTATTTAAATAACATTCCTATTAATATAACAGTTGAATTCATAAATCAGTTAATGCTAGACCACCATGAAAAACCTATAAGCACTGGACGTTCGTTTCGTCTTAGTGTGGGACTCCTCAGCTGTGAGCATTCACGACCCTGCTAGCGAGGTTCCAACTCAGAACCTATCGGTCTTATACGCGTGCGCCTAACCTCTAGATGACTGAGCTGGTATTCAACAATGTTAATGTCTAACTTCAACCAATCCACGAAACAGCCGTCGAGTGCTTCCAGTTTTTCTATGATGGTTTAGTTTTAATTGACTAATAAATTCAACTATTAAAAGTATTATAATATCCACAAAACCTCCTCTGATTAAATTATTCATTTGTATTGTTGTGTATGCTACTTATGTCTACAGAAATAAGTAGTCCATAACATCAATAAGAAGTGCAATGTCTGAGAGCAGAATATTGAAATGAAAAGAATAGACAAGCAAACTATCGAATTCTTTCTCATCGTCAAACAAGTTGGTTTACGGTGATGATTTCCATTTGTTTGATTATTCAACAAAGAAACACAATGTAGAGGTTTGGTCTGTGAACGACCGATCCCTAAGGAATCCGACTTGTTGATCTGGAAGCTAGGTATCTACTGAATCTGTCATCCGGTTCAACAACACTCTGTTGAAAACTTTTCCTGGTACTGATAATAGTGTTGTAGCTGTATAGTTAGTTCACGCACTTACACGGGTCTTTTTCCTTTGGTATCTTGATGAGACATAATTCTTTTTAGTCTGTCAGCATTTGTTGCACCTCCCCAATCTTCCTGAATAGAACATGGAGCGTGTTTGCAGTTAACTCTCTGTCTGATTTTAGTACTTCGACTAGTATATTATCAGGTCTTACAGCTATCTCACTCTTGATTTGTCTGATGACAAACCTAATTTCTTCAATAGTTGATGGAATAACATCCATAGTAAAGTCTGTGTATGTTGATTCCATATCCAGTAGATTCAGTAGGGCCAGTATATTAAAGAGTTCTTCAGAGTGCTCTAGTCACCTGTTCTACCGTTCTTAAATCTCACTAATTGGCTAGCTTCGTTTATTGTTAACTAGTCGATCTAATTTACTACATTTCCCTGCTAGTTTCTTCATTGTAACACATAATTGAGATCATGAATCAATTAAAGATAGACCACTATGGAAAACCCAGTACACTGGATGGCCGTTTCGTCACAGTGTAGGACTCTTCAACAGTGCGCATCCACCTGCATCCCACCTCGCAAGATTCAAACACAGTTTCGCACGCGAGCACTTAACCTCTCTAGTCCTTCTCTTACAACTTTTCCTTCTATCTTACACATATTTCTACTTGTTAGCTCTAATATTCTACTTCACTCTTTTGTTTGCTTCTGTGTATTCACCTCATTCATTATAACTATTATCAATGAAACCATACATCATAGATCAATAAACAAAAATGATCATTCATGTAAATGAATAATCATTCAATTTAATTAGATTATTCATTATGATCTCTTGTATATCTAGTTCTTATCTCATTCCATAACAACAACAACAACAACAACCAAAAAAAAGAAAGAAAAAGAAA